CTATATTGCGGCCCCTGGCGAAAGCCAGAGTAGGGCTTCAAATGACAAAAAATTTCGTCCTAAAAAGGACGAAATTAGATATTACTCACAACATGACCAAAATATGAAGGCCCGTCTCCTCTCCAGACAGATAACAACGGTACACTGATTGGAGAAATTATATGAAGACAGACAAGAATGTGTGGATGTATTATGAGACGTAATACATTCAAAATCTTGGTGACAAAATTTGTGATTCGGTTTCCGTGTGATTTGGTCAACCATAACCGCATTACAGTAACTGAACAAGTTAGGTGATGTGTTTCTGTGTTTCATGCTCTCGTTTTTGCTTCTCTCCCTTCCCCCCCCCCCCCCCCCCCAATTTTTTAAAAACTCTCTCTCTCTCTCTCTCTCTCTCTCTCTCTCTCTCTCTCTCTCTCTCTCTCTCTCTCTCTCTTTCTCGTATTATCTGTTCCCTAGTGCGTGTTTTTCCCCCTCATAATATACTTATATTCCTGTATGAGCACAACATGTTTAATAGATTTCCCCAACAACAACGACTCAACTGCCGTGTGAGAGATAGGTGTTTGGAAATCATGAGTGTAAAGACGGGACTGGGTTCATAATTTTGACCCTTAAAAAAAATATTCGCCTATTTATTCGAACAGTTGCCTATACGTTGCACAAAGGAGCAGCGCCAGCAGAATAGCTAGACAGGCCCGAAGCCTTGGGTTTGAATCCACATGAGGCGGATTTTATTTAAAATATTTTGGCTCTCAGGTCGACCAGAAATGTCCACTGAAGTAAAGGCGGCTATCATGAGTTTGACTATAATTTACTTAATTACTTTTACTTCGTTACCTAATTACATTTGCTAATAATTACTTTTAAATTCAACTGAAATGCAAATAGTTTCTTCTAATTGATTGCCAGGAATATTTCGCGGTATCTCATCAGGTGCGTTACTACAGAGTTGCAACAACATAAAATAAAGCATAAAACTGAATAAATTCATCTGAAATGCGAATAGTTTCTTCCAATTTATTGTCAGGCCTATTTCGTTGTATCTCATCAATTACTTTTAACTTAGTTACATATGTAATTACTTATACTTACTTACTTAACTAATTTTACTTAGCAACTTAATTACTTTTGCTTAGTTACTCATATAATTTTTACTATGGCTGCAACTGACATAGAGCAGAGAATGCTTTTCACACTATATCAGCACCTGATCCTGTCAGTGGTTGATTATGACCTGGAAATGCTTACCGTCTCAAAGAGTCAGATGGACAAACTAAAGCGCATTCAGAACGCAGCAATGCGGGTCATTCTGGGTCGCACCAGAAACACCCCAGTGATGTGTATGCCATACATCCTTGGTCTGCCGACTGTTGCAGGTAGGCACAAGGTGCTGCAGGCGAAGTCATATCTCAGAGTAGCTGCAGACACAGACCACCCTTTGCACGAAGCTCTAGGTGCAGTAAAGGTTCAGCGGCTGATAAGAGGGAAGTCATGGATGGCTCAGCAGAAGAAACAATCAGACGGGTTTGCATCCTTGAGAACATTAGGCGAGGAGAGGAGTGGGTCAAATTACCACCTGAACCGTCAGACTTGTGTAGTGTCATATTCACACTGAGCCGGGAATGCAGAGACTAACCAGCAGGTGCCACAGATGTGGAAATTCAGCAATTCATTCAAAATAATGCTCGCTCAGAAGATTTGATCATTTACACAGACGGTTCAGTGTAAATAGGCAAAAGAAGTGCTTGGGGTTTCTTAGCAAACGTTAATGGTCGACGTTTGGTGCAGGAGAGCCTAGCATATGATACCACAACATCCAGCTTAGGAATGGAGGTGGAGGCGGTCACTGCGGCTTTCCGCTGGCTAGAGAAAACGACACACAAACACATTGTGATTGTAACTGACTCAGAAAGCATGCTGAGGAAGATCAGGGCAGGTATGCTTTGTGCAGAGTAGCATGCCTCGCTGAGGAAGACATGGATTAGGAGTATTGTCTGGATTTTTTCACCGGGTGATGCCGGTGTGTTGGGAAATGAACAGGCGGAAAGACTGGCTGGCTCTGCACAACTTGGTGGAACACAGATGCCTGATAATGCAGACGTGGTTAGTGCATTGTGGGAGGGCTTGTACAGTTCGGAGGAGCAGATTGATCACCACAGTGTGGTGAGATTGATGCAGTTGGGGGTGACGAGAGGTTCTTGGCAGATGCTCGAGGCTTAAGGAAAGGCAGGACGGACGTTTAATCAGAAAGCTACTGGCACCATTAGTATCGGAACTCTTCACTAGCTGCTGAAGATAGGTAGGGAGCGCTTGTGGCAATGCCCCGAGTGCTGTGATGTCGGTCTTTGAATCAAATCAATCAATCAATCTATTATATAATTATTTTTACTTATGAACTAATTTAATTACTTTTACTTAGTTACTAATTTAATCACAACTGATGAATTAATTTAATTACTTTGTTTTACGATCTTTTTACTGGCATACATGCTCACTGACTGATCGTTGGCTGCCTTTTCTGTCTTTTTACCTACTTACCTACTTACTTATTCCCCCATTCACCTACTCACTTACTTACTAAAAGTACAAGAAAAGCATAAAGTCAGAGACCAAAACATAACAAAAAACAGTGAAAAGGTGAAAAGTCAAAAGCTTTACAAAATGGCAAATGAGAGAGAGATGGATTCTTCTTCTTCTTCTTCTTCTTCTTCTTCTTCTTCTTCTTCTTCTTCTTCTTCTTCTTCTTCTTCTTCTTCTTCTTCTTCTTCTTCTTCTTCTTCTTCTTCTTCTTCTTTTTTCTTCTTTTCTTCTTCTTCTTCTTCTTCTTCTTCTTCTTCTTCTTCTTCTTCTTCTTCTTCTTCTTCTTCTTCTTCTTCTTCTTCTTCTTCTTCTTCTTTTTCTTCTTCTTCTTCTTCTTCTTCTTTTTCTTCTTTTCTTCTTCTTTTCGTCTCTATCTTTTCTTCTTCCTCTTCTTCTTCTTCTTCCTCTCCCCTCCTCCTTTTAATCCTCCTTCTCCCCCTTCTTCTCCTCTTCCCTCTCCTCTTCCTTCTCTTCCCCTCCTCATTCTCCTTCTCCTCCTTCTCCCTCTCCTCCTCTCTTTCCTCTACCTTCTCCACCTTTCGCTGCAATATCTGAGGCTTTGGACCCAAACATCAGATTTCAGTAAATCTTAAACACTCTTTCAACATGCATGTGAGGGGAAAGTGGGTTACCCCACACCTCCCACGCCTCCCCCCCCCCCCCCCTACGCTTTCGCAGTTGGGCATAGCAGCCCACACGGGAAGGCATTGAGTCATTTGCCTGAGGATCTATGGTTTTTTTTTTAAAGGCATGTCTCACACACACGCGCGCACGCACACACATGCACACACACACGCATGCTTTCGCGCGTCGCACACACACACACACACACACACACACACACACACACAGAAGGGGAAAACAGAATTATCAATAGTATTTCCTCTACGAATGTTGGTTCACAATTAGGTTACCATTGGATCTCACATGCTGCAAGCTATACAGCCAATCAGCTGGCGTGTAACAATAGACAAGGCCATTAGCCACTCGAACCGTCACTCCCACTTTCAGGCTGATTTCACCGCCTTAAATATCTCTTTGAAAACTCAAGGACGTTTAACACCATTTTAACTCATTCTTTCCTTGCGGGTTGTTACATTAACCCACCCTATTCACGCTGTGAGTTGAAGGGATTTAATTTCAAATAGCTCTAATTTAAATCCTTTTCGATTTGAGAACTGACAAAAGACAATGGAATAAATTTAATCGGTTACACCGAGAGCTTTCACAATTGTTCAGAAGGTCAACATAGAAGCAGAAATGCGTATTGAGAGAAAATATAGATAAAGGGTATGTATTACGCAACGAAACAACCGTCGTGTATTTAGTACTCTGTTGATAAAGACTTTGGAGGAAACGTTCATGTGTATTTGACCCCACCCTTTACTAACGTCCGTTTCAAAACTCACCACCCGAAATAAACTGCACTGACTTAACATCCAATTGACCGAAATGGTTGAAATAGTGCACATATATTTATAATGTGATGACCATAAATATATTTAAAATGACACCCGACTTACGACTTTCGTTAAGAAAAATTATTATGTGTGTACCACAACCACAACAACAAAATAGCTTCTCATGTGAGCTTTTCATAGCTTTACAGTAGCTCAGTAAAAATTATCTGTTCTAAATTGATCAGAGGTGTCTATTACTGTATAGTTCGCACAATTATAGTCAACCTATTCGACAAAAGAAACCGGCCATTATATTTAGACGGCGTACTGGACACAATTAAACAGCCTACAATGTCTATCGTTAAGCACCAGCAAGGAGATCAAAATTAGTATTCTGAGAGCATGCATCTTCCCTGTAGCAACATACGGATGTGAGTCGTGGACTATCTCCCAGTCCTTAAGAAAGAGAATAGGGGCTTTTGAGCTGAAATGCTATAGAAAGGTTCTCAGAATATCTTGGACAAAGAAGAGGAGAAATATTGACATCTTGAAAGATCTGAACATCAAAGAAGATTAGCTAATAAACAGCATCCTGGCTCGGAAGCTAAAATATTTTATTCATATCAAGCGCCAGAACGGACTGGTAAAATTATAGCAGAAGGCATGTTTCCAGGAAGGAGTTTTAATGGCCGACCAACACGAAGATGGGCACAGGATATAAGTGACTCCTTGAGTTTAAAAGTACATGCGGTGGGAGAGCTAGCGAGAGACAGACTTTCTTTCAGGCAGACTGTGATGAGAGCGACGTTTTGCAAAGGACCTGCTACATGATGATGATGACTGGACACAACAAATTCAGCAGTCTATGTAGAAGAAATTCAAGACAGGGGATTCAGAACTTTGCCAACGTGGACAGGCACCAGGGAATACTGACCACGGGTCACATGCACGCTCTCTTTATGGTCACATGCACGCTCTCTTTGTGGTCACATGCACGCTCTCTTTGTGGTCACATGCATGCTCTCTTTATGGCCACATGCATGCTCTCTTTATGGTCACATGCATGCTCTCTTTATGGTCACATGCATGCTCTTTTTATGGTCACATGCGAGCTCTCTTTGTGGTCACATGCATGCTCTCTTTATGGTCACATGCACGCTCTCTTTGTGGTCACATGCACGCTCTCTTTGTGGTCACATGCACGCTCTCTTTATGGTCACATGCATGCTCTCTTTGTGGTCACATGCACGCTCTCTTTTTGTGGTCACATGCATGCTCTCTTTATGGTCACATGCACGCTCTCTTTGTGGTCACATGCACGCTCTCTTTGTGGTCACATGCATGCTCTCTTTATGGCCACATGCATGCTCTCTTTATGGTCACATGCATGCTCTCTTTATGGTCACATGCATGCTCTCTTTATGGTCACATGCGCGCTCTCTTTATGGTCACATGCATGCTCTCTTTATGGTCACATGCATGCTGGCTTTATGGTCACATGCATGCTCTCTTTATGGTCACACGCATGCTCTCTTTATGGTCACTTGCATGCTCTCTTTATGGTCACATGCATGCTCTCTTTATGGTCACATGCATGCTCTCTTTATGGTCACATGCACGCTCTCTTTATGGTCACATGCACGCTCTCTTTATGCAAGAGAGAGATCAAAGTTTTGGTCGGTTGGCATTTCAGTACAAAGCAAACTGTATGGAACATCAGAAACCATCGTAGCACCACAGACATCATATAGGTCTGTGAAAACCGCTGCAGGGTAAACGGGGGAAAAAAAAAACAAGAACAACAGACAGTAAATTTTGTTGTTGTTTTTTTTTAATTATTTTTAAGGCCACAATATGGTGCATTGTTAAAATAATCAAAGAAATTTCCCTTGAAAGAACAATATTTGTGATGGTTTGATGTAAATCACGTCCTTTGTGAATGCTGTGCTGTAAATAGTGCTTCATGATTCTAGCTTGACTGCCGTTCATTCCTTGTGACGTCTTCGGTATCATTGGTTTCAAAGTTAGATAAGTAAAGAAAGTCAAGGGGAAGATCATGTTCCTTGAGACCGAGATATATGATGCTAACCCACATTTTTATACAATAGTAGGCCTCCGACTATCGTACCAAAAGTATTGGGTTCGTATCTGCACCCCTGTAGGGACAGGGGTTGGGGGAGTTAGGGAGGAAGAGAACTAGATAGGGAGAGATGGGGGGCGGGGGGGGGGGGGGGGGGGCAGGATACAGAGGGAGAGAGAGAGAGTTTCGAATCGCAATTGTCATCTACAAAATAAATTCGTTAAGATCAACAAGCATTACACATTTACGCTTTTGTGGAATTCAGAGCTGAAAGAGGGCCACTGATCAAACACTGTTACAAGATGATTCTGTGGGAAAACCCCACTTATAATGTGAGCTAGAGGACAACCAACAAACAACCCAAGACATGTTCCCTTCTTCTTCTTCTTCTTTCTTATTCTTTCTTATTCTTTCTTCTTCTTCTTTTTCTTCCTTCGTTTTCTTCTTCTTCTTTTTCTTTTTCTCCTTTTTCTTCTTTTATCTTTTTCTTATTATTATTATTATTATTATTTCTTCCTGTTGGTGGGGGGCGGGGGTTGGCAGTGTGAAAATTAACCCATCCCCTCTTCCCCCAAGTAGGGCCGGCAACCCACACGCGAAAAGACCAAGTAGACACAACAGGACTACAGAGTACATGAAATGAACACTCATTGACATTTATTCCTGTACACTTATTCTTTTACTTGTTGTCTCCCCTGGTAGGTGGTCGATTGGGAGGGAGATAAGGACACAATGGTACGGTTTCTAGTGTAATAAAGTAACACTGAAGGAACCAATTTCCATGCCTTCACGCGCGTAATAGGCATATAGGGCTAGCCCATCATTTTATAGACCAATCGGTACCTGTTGGGTGATGGGGTCAGCATCAAGCCAACCACCTTTACTTCCCAGGACTTTACATGGTACCAATTTAAACCTGGGTCGACCAGTCAGCCAGGGTCATTTTCGGAAAACAAAAACGTTAAGCTCCTTCAGAACTTCAACCCCCGTTATGCCAGTCCGTAGTGGAGCCTCTAGCCGCTACACAATGACGGCTCCCAGTGATGTAAAAGTTCACCTTTTTATCAGATGCGTGACCAGTTTTATTCTTCCTGCATCAATATTTTTTTAATATACAGTAGAACCTCGCTTAACGAGCACCTCTCATAACGAGTAATTCGCATAACGAGCAAAACAAATTGTAAAAGAAACTTGTAAAAGAATGACGTTTTCGCTTAATGAGCGACTTTTTCGCATAAAGGGTGGCGATTGGGAGCAGGGACATTCGGTAAGCCCGTCAGAGTTGTGCGCATGTTACAGGGAAGTCTGTGTTTATGCGCAGTCGTTAGCACTCGTTCCAGTAACATCGTTGTGTCGCTTGTGATCACACATTTTCTCAAACTCGTGTTTTGTTGTGATATATGTATATGAATCATCCAGGCCTACAAGATTACCTCCCTGAAGAATTTAAGTTCATCAAAATCCAGTTTCTGTCTCCCAACATCACTCCGTTACTCCAGCCAATGGACGAGCAATTTATTTCTAACTTTAGGAAGCTCCATACTAAAGCACTCTTCGAGCATGGTTTTCGGGTGACTGAAGGGACCAACCTCACTCTCAAATAGTTTTGGGAAAATCACCTCCACATCGTTGCCTGCCTCAAGATGATCGACAAGGCGGGGGAAGGGGTTACCAAGGGAACCATAACTTCTGCTTGGAAGAAGCTTTAGCCGGAGAGCATTTTCGATTTGTGACTGAGGGGTTCGAGACAGTACCTGTGGAACCTGTAGTCAACGAGATTGTGTCTTTGGCCACTATCATGGGATTGTAGGTGGATAACAGTGATATCAAAGAGTTTGTGGAAGAGCACAGCCAAGAGCTGACCACCCAAGAGCTTATGGAGTTGCATTGTGTTTCACAGCAAGAAGTTTTGGAGGAAAGTTTGTCAAAGGAGGAGCAGGTAACAGAAAAGCAACATTCATCTGGCGAAACAAGAGAAATGCTGAAAGCATGGGAAACTGTTGCATCTAACATTGAGAAGCCTCACCCTAATAAGGAAGTGGTTATGCGCGCTGCAAATTTGTTTAATGATAATGCTGTGTCGCATTTTCGCCAAATTTTGAAGCGTCGGCAAAAACAAATGTCTCTGGACATCTTTCTAGTAAAAAATAATAATTAGCTATATATCATTATTATTACGACTTTTTTTTCTTCTGCAAATCGAATTCGCATTCAAGGTGGGCTCGTTCTGCGTTTGAAGAGAAGATGAAGGTGATTCATTCTTCTTAACAATATGTATATAATTTTCTTTAAATAAACGTTATACGTAGCATTTTGTGAATATTTTTTTTTTCTACGTGGAACGCATTATGGTATTTTACATTATTTTATATGAGAAAAATTGTTTCGCATAACGAGTATTTCGCTTACCGAGTATGATTCCGGAACGAATTATGCTCGTTAAGCGAGGTTCCACTGTATAGGAAAAGGGGATTAACGGTGGAAATGTTAACTACATGTGTACATTGGTTTGTTCTGTATAGCTGGGCAGGGGCGTAGATACGAAGAAAACATGAGAGGGTGCGGTTTTTAAAGGTGAAGGTTTTTTTTATAGTTGTTAGACATTTTCCCTTTTTAATCGATCGAGGTGGGCGCTGCAGTGGACCTAAGCCTTGTCTAAATAGGTAATAATAATTATATTGTTATAATGGCTATTATACGCTGAACGTCAAGTTAATGTAATAATATATTTAAAATAATAACAAATACTTAAACAGAGAACTTCTATACACTGTTGGTCGGACTTGGCCTCCCCCTCCCCCTTCCCGCCTACACCATGGTCGAAGCAGATCTTAGATTCAGTGATCACCACAAGAAGTCTTTTAAAAAAAAAACTTGAGTTTTGGGTTGAGAGAACAACCTCGCTTCCCTGCAAAACTCAGTTCTGGGAACCCTAAGTTTCCCCCCGTTTTCCCGATTCCCCACCCCTTAAATAAAGAAAGCATGTCGTGAAAATCGACTACTTCCTTCTAGGTAAGAGTTCAACTCGCTGGGAGTCGAGGAACCATCAGTCTGCATACACGTGAGCTGATCTGTAAAACAGGTGTGAGTGCAAAACTCAGTTCTGGGACCATACTAAAGTTTATAATTGTTCGAACAACCAAAACGTGTTGCTAGAGTTTACAGCTGCCAAACGTTAAGCAGCAGGAGGATGAGGAGAAGGAGGACGAGAAGAAGAAGAAGAAGAAGAAGAAGAAGAAGAAGAAGAAGAAGAAGAAGAAGAAGAAGAAGAAGAAGAAGAAGAAGAAGAAGAAGAAGAAGAAGAAGAAGAAGAAGAAGAAGAAGAAGAAGAAGAAGAAGAAGAAGAAAAGAAGAAGAAGAAGAAAAGAAGAAGAAGAAGAAGAAGAAGAAGAAGAAGAAGAAGAAGAAGAAGAAGAAGAAGAAGAAGAAGAAGAAGAAGAAGAAGAAGAAGAAGAAGAAGAAGAAGAAGAAGAAGAAGAAGAAGAAGAAGAAGAAGAAGAAGAAGAAGAAGACGTAAACTTTTACTTTTATCATTAAGCACTTAAACAAAGTTTAAATCCGTTAAGGACCCCCCCCCCCTCCCCTCCTTTTCAAGGTTTCTCCCATTAGTAAATTAGGTGAGCTATGCCCCCAACTCCTCCCACCAACCCCCATCTCCTTCGCTTTCGCGGTCCCCAATACTTTCTCTTAGGCGCCTCTGCCTCACGTGATAAACTACAGTGACGCCTATACTTCACAGGGAGCGACAGTATAAGTGAACTGTGTTTTAAAGATAGGATAGTTGCCAGTTAAAACAACAAATATTTGGCCTTTCACACACGATCCCTACCCGTGTGAGAGCAAGGAAAACCTAGAACGGTGTAACACCCGGTACCACAAACCTCCATCCACTGCCTGTTTAAAAAGGAAGTTCTCTCCCCCAGATGAAAGACCGCCGCGGGAAAACGAACCGATTTCTCATCGAAATGAGAGAGGAAATGAATGGCTACAATCTGAAGAGGTCCTTGATGAAGTAAACATTTAGAGGAAATAAAAACAAGGGTTAGACTAGAGAGAACGGATAGGAAAGAGATTTCTGTTTGTTTGTAGATGTTTTCGGTGCCTTGTTTGTGTTGCGCATGTGTTTTGCATCATCGGGAATTCTCAGGCGGGGACGACCAACACTTCGCTGTGAACACTTGCAACCCTTTGACATTTTCCGAGGCAGCCATTGAGTGGCTGATTTCTTTCCCATGGCGGTCTCGGAAACTCGTAAAGATGCCAAACCGCGCCTTTGATCTATTGGTAAAAATAACGAAACCCACAAAGCAAATATACCCGACAAAACTTCTCATAAGCGAGAACTGCGGCTGCGCCGCTTATCGTGTTGCTTAGAAGCAAAGCAGTTTAATATGATTCAAAACGCTCGATTTATGAATGAAAGCTACTGATAAGAGTTGGGATTGCATGGACAAGTTCATGCGGGAGGTTATCATAACAGCCACCTTGCATCAAGGGATTACAGACGCTTATCCGGAGACATATTCTCATGGGTTATTCTTCTTGTTCTTCTGATCTAGCTCTTTACACCGCTTTGTATGCGTCAGATAAAAGTCAAAGGTAAAATGTAACATATGTTGCGTAAAGAAATGATGCTAACATACACATAATTACTATGTTATAGCAAATCAAAGGAAGAATGGATTCAGCTTCCTGT